TTCTGCATTTCAGAAGCCTTGGCCAATGGGAGGGGCCTGTTTTATTTGGTCCATACAGTGCTTTTCTGAAATTTGAAGCCACATTTCAAAATGCTGCAGAGTTCTCATAAAAATTATTGTCTGAATTCTCTTGATGCTAAACTATTCGGCTGCCCCAGATCCATGAGGCTACCTGTGAAAGCAAGGTCAAGAGAAGTAAGGATGCATGCATGAGGGCCTGAGTTTAATCCACAGTACTGGGAAGGGGGCAGGGGGTGAAAGCCAGGCCAGGAGTGGATTTTGTTGTTGTTTGCTGCTGTCTTCATGGAATTTGTGGCTTTTGTCTTAATGGTGGGACACTGTGTAGATAGCTCTGTATGGATGACAGGGAGATTTATCCAGACTATGACACAGGGATCTTCACAGAATCCCAAATTCAGTGGAGACACAGCCTTTGATGCCGACGGTGGGGCCAGCTGCTCTGTGTATGTGGCCTCATCTGTCTGGCCTTCCCAGGTGTGGGTCGACATCTGGCTAAGACTGGATCAAGTTACTCCTGTGCATGGGTGCTCCGCCGAGTGCCATGCACCCCATAGCCCACTCAGATTCATCTCTTGCACTTACTTAGCTGAAAGGGAGTTGCTGAAGATATACAGTTCTGACTTCTGTGACCTGTCATTGGCACCTTCCATGATAGGACAATGCTTATCAAATGTGATTAGATCAAGGATCTTGAGATGAGGAAGTGTTTCTGGGTCACCCAGAGGAAACCTAAACAAAATCAACCTTCTAAGAAGGAAGGAAAGGGAGATAGCGCACAGACACAGACAGAGGAAGAGAAGTGACAAGCAGGCAGCCTCTGGTGTGATGTGGCCTCAAGTCAAGGGAAGCCAGCAGCCCCAGAGCCGAAAGAGACAGTGGACAAATACCCTCCTAGCATCTCCAGAGGCAATGTGGCCCTGCTCACATCTCCATTTCAGCTCAGTGACAGTGATCTCTGGCTTTTGGTCCCCCCAAAGTATGACATAATGCATGTCTATACAGAGTGTTCCACAGCTGTCTTATGCTTAAGGGAAAGTTACATGCCAAGATCACCCAGTTCCAAGTGCAGAGTGGGTCTTCTGGCCCAGCCAGGGCTTCAGCTGTTGCACTCACCAGTACCAGTTCTCTCTTCAAGAACCCCAAAGATGAGAGATGGGAGCTAGGACAAGGTCTAAGGATGGACCCAGAAGTCACATTTTTGTTGACACACGAGTTTCCTCTTTTCTTCAGTCTTGACTTCCCTCTCCCTATCAACACTTATTGGGATGTCTTGAACCCAAATCCTGTGGTTGCCTTGGGGCAGAGCCACAGAAGTCAGCTCTCATTGGGAGAGTCTGGGCTTACAGCCCAGGACTGAGGCCTAGGATTCAGCTTTGGGCAGTTTGATCTCTTCCAGTAACCAGTCCCCATCCACCCTACCCTCCAGCCCAGCCTCACCCTAGCCTGAGCAGTTGGCCTTTTCCAGCCTGCATCAGTTGAGTTCCTACCAGATCCCCTGCTTTGGTTTCCAAGTGTCACTTTTTGGCTTCCTGCCTGAAGATGTGATCTCTCTTACCTCAGCATGCAATCCAGCTACTGGCCATAAAGTACTCTCCAGAGACCTAACCAATGGAATCACCTGATCTTGGACTTTCAGCCTCCAAAAGTATCAGCTAAATAAACCTCCTTTCCTAATAAAGTTACCCTGACTCAGGTATTTTATTATAGTAACCAAAACATAGAATGGGCTAATAAAGTGCCCTGGTGCCTGTGTCTACTATGTGTTACTATAACAAAATGTGTGAGGTAAGTATTGAGGTTTGGCTTGTGATAGTCACTGGCGTTGTGCTAGTATCTTCATACATACCCCGTTGGTTGAGTCATAGCACAGCGGAGAGACAGAGGGGCTATGTTGAAGAGATCAAGTATGTGTAGTGAGCTCAGTTTATAAAAATCTGCACTTATAAGAATGAATTCACTGCTGTGAGCCCCAACCAACTCCATGGGTCCCCCAATGAGAGTAGAGCATCCACAAGCTATCCCCAAGTCCCCTGATGAAGGCAGAGCCTTCACAAGCTAGCCCCAAGTCCCCTGATGAGGGCAGGGACTCCACAAGCTATCCCTGAGTCCCCTGATAAGGGCAGAGCCTCCACAAGCTAGCCCCACCTCCTAACGGTTCTGCCTCCTCAGCCTAGCCTCCCAGGGACTAAGCTTTGAGGACAGTCTATAGCCTCTCCTATACACACACACACACACACACACACACACACACACACACACACACACACACACAAACCTTTGCTCTGAGGCCCTAGGGTCCTGGGCCACTTAAGATATGCTGGGACACAGATTTTATAAGTTCCAATTGTCATTCTGTTCCTTGTCAGGGCCCAAGCTGATGGAAAGCTGAAGTCACCCTGGGCCCTTGGCCCAGCTCTGGCATAAACAGGCTGGACCCCCTCCAGCCAGTGAGTCCACCTTAGCCTTGGGTCATTTGGGAACCATCAGACACATTCAGGGGGCTACAGGGTCTCAACATATTGACGCTGGATAGGAAGGCTCAGAAGGGAGACAACGCCCAGAGCATAGGCCTGTGGTCTGAAGCTAAAGCCCAGGATTCCCATCTACACTCACACATGGCCTGAGCTCCCGGCTGGAGTGCCTGGGCTTACAGCCCAAGACTGTGGCCTTGTGTTCAGTCTTGGACAGATTCATCTCCTCCTTGGATGACTGATGGCCAGGCCCCACCCACCCACCTTCCAGCTCAGCTTCATCCTGACCTGGGCGCTGATCTCACCCAGCGCCATCTATCTGGGGTCAGTGGTTTCTGGGTTGATTCTGAAATTCCTCTCCCCATGTTCTCAGTTCCAAGTTCTCATTAGGGATGTGTGTATGAGATGGCAAGGCAAAGGGACTACTAAACAGAAGATGCCAAAATGCTGAGCACAGTCCAGAAAACAAAACCAAGCCAGCTAGACCATTGGGGGAAGGGCCCCAGGGCAGGAAGATAAACCCAATATGGAATCTGGGATTGGAGACAAAGCCAAGGGCACCCAGCCAGCTCCACAGTGCAGGCTCCACCTCACCCAGCCTGAGCCCAGAGGTGGAGAGAAAGAGGCCAGAACCACCCAGACTCTTCCAGGGCAGGCCAGCCCTATTGGAAGAAGCATCAAGGCTGAAGTGGCTTTCTCTGAGCTCTCTGAGACCGACTTTGCTAACCCCTATCAGCTATTATAAGGAAACAAAAGCTAACTTTGTCCAAAGGCTGGCAAGAGAGTGAGGCCAGGAGAAGACCTCCCTCCAGGTCTGGAGCACTTCTGCCCATTTTCCTTCCAGCCCTCCAGGTACTCTAATGCAGGAAAGCCCAAGGGTGGGAGTGAGGCTAAGGCTGGGGGAAGGCCCCCCAGAAGTTGTTGACAGCTAAGGCAGATGGCTATTCATTACCAGGGAAGAAGGGGCAGCCAGAATCATTGATTATCTCCAGGGAACACCAGTGTGCCAATGAACAATTCCTTTACTGAGGTCCCTGACATGGTGTCTTAAAATTAAAATGGTCCCCTGCCATGCTGTGCCCAATTGATCTGTCAAACCAGATTGTCAGCGGGAACTAAAATAAATGAGCTGGGGTTCCTTAGAGGAGCAGGGTGATTTCAACGAATCGTAGTACAGGAAGGGGGCTGGTCAGTCAGGGGCATCTACTCGCTAGATACCTGCAAATGTGCGGGCTCCCTGCCCATGGCTGCCCCACTCCCCCACTTGATGTCCTTACTCAGCCTGGGGTCCAGGTCTAAGACTGAGGGCTAAGCACCCAAATGCCCAGATGCCCAGCTGCCTGGCAAAAGCCGGGCACAGGCAAGGAGGTCTCATCTATATACCAGGATCCTGGAACCTGCAAGAGCACTTTAGATCCTGTCCCAGGCCCCCCATACAATCCAGTACCCCAAATCCAGAGACCTCTGGGGTGGTCAGGCTGTCTTGGCAAGACTTGTGAGGCTGCACAGTCAGCCACCCAGGCCACTCAGTAGCTCCTCCCATATTCCTGGCCCCAAAGCACCCTGTGATTGGAAGACACTAAGGTTGTTGGAGCTACTCTGGAGTCTTTTCAAGGTGTGTCCTGGGGTGGGAGGTGTAGAGAAAGAATGCTTGTGGCCTTCTCTTCTGAGTGAGCATGGAAACTCTGGGATAGAAGCAGGTACCATCCCGGAGACCACCTCAGTACAGGAGCAGTAGACAGGGGGCTGTCTGGAGGGCACAAGATGCTGTCTAGACTGACACAGCTCACTCCTGTTCCCAAGATGGACCGCTAGACAGTCTTCTCTTCCCTCTGTGAGGGCCCTAGACCTGTAAGCAGTGGGGACCTCCACTATTGGTTTCCTATATGTACTCAGAGCAGAACCCTCTGCCTCAACACCCCAGCACCCCACATGCCATGTGTCCAGCCAGGCAGGGGACTGACTCCTTCCTGAGCCAGTAAGGCTGGGCTCAGCTTCAGCCTCCAATCAGACCTGCAGAAGGAGACCTGAGTTTCCCTGGGAACCAGGAACAGACAGGCAGGAGACATTCAGTGCTTCCCACCCAGCCTTCCCTTCTACAGCAGCCTTACCTGTGTCCAGAGCCTGTGGTCCTGCCAGAGGAGGGGGTTTGGGGGTGGGTGGTCGGCGATACACCACATGCACTCTGCCTTGTTCAGCCTCCTGATCTGTTTGTCCCCTCTCCAGAGGCTCAATAAAGAACTCCTCCTCCTCCATACGGATCAGGCCAGCCTGCAGAGGCAAAGTAAAGAAATTCAGACTCCCAACACACAGACAGATGAGGGAGAGTGGCAAGGAGGGTCCCCTGGGGTAGTACCTCCTTCTGGAATGTCAGCATCTGGAGGAAGCAGGCAGGGAGTCCTCATCTGCTCAGACTTTATTTGGAAGCCTGAGCTGTAGGAAGGTGCTGAGCCCTCTCTGGGTGAGAGACAGTAACCCCCACCTCACATCCCCATAGTCCTTCCAGAAAAGTCTTTCTAAAGCCCAAAATGTCAAGAGTAGCCTGAGGGAGCTCAGGTATAGCTGCAGGCCTGTATATGGGCCTAGGAGAACACTACAGTCATTCCAAGACACAGGTCAAAACCATCAGCCAAGAACTGCATCTACTCACAGACACATTCAGTTCAGCCCAAACAATACTTTCTTAATAGAGAGGGGTGGGGATCTCAAACCAGCTGAGCAGCTTAGCTTGACCTGGAACTTCTAAGCCCTGCCTCCACTTCTTGAGTGCGGAAATTAGAGATGTTACCACCATGCCCTATTCTGGGGAGTCAAACCCAAGCTAGGCAAGCTGTCTGCCAACTGAGGGTGCATGCAATAGATGGATGTAGGGGTGAGGAAAATCTCCAATGCCTTCCTATCTTGTTTAAACAGTCCCTTTGTGGTCTTTACACTGAGTGTGTCAAGCTAGCTGGACTTTGAATTTTTGGGGGATTCTCCTGCCTCCTCCCTTCCCACCCCCAACCTTCCCATAGGGTGCTAGGATTATAGACGCTGACACTATCACACCCAGCTATCTATAGATTCTGGAGATTTGAACTCGAGCTCTCATGTTTTGGACAGGAGGCATTTTTTTTACTCAGGGAGCCATCTCTAAAGAACCAAAGAATACTTTTTAATGCTGTGAATCCAACCATTAAAATGATGAGATTTCAGCTTTTAAAGTGAAATCCCAGGTACTGCAAGCATGGCTCCATGATTAAAAGTGCCTGCTGCTCTTTCAGAATCTGTTAGACTTCTCACAACATCCAGGAACTGCAGCCCCAGAAGATCCAATGCCTTCTAGTCTCCAAGGACAACCACATTTACATGGACACAACCCCACACAGACACATGCATACACTAACTAAAAATACACCTTAAAACAAAACGTGAATCTTAAAGAAAAGGAAAGTGTGACTTTCCTTAGAAAACAGTTTTGACCAAATTAAGCTACACACTCCTTGGCCATGGACACCTTTGAAAGACATACACCACAGTGCTTGGCCACAGTTCTATGCCTCCTCCCCTCCCTCTGCCGTAAGATCAGACTCTACAACATGTGTTGACTGCATAGGGCTTCCTGCTGGACCCTCCTGGCTACATTCAGATTGCTATGTTCTGTGTCATTCAAGGCTGTCAGCCTGCACCTGTTTGGTCACTCGGTTGTGTGTGAACACAGCTGAGCCACTGACCTCAAACTTGCCATACACGAGTGTGGGAGTCCCTGCTGCCATCTCCCACCTGGGCCACCTGGTAATAAACCCCTATTATCTTTTTCATATCTGGCTCTGAGCCTCCCAAAGATCCTTTCTCTGATGCAGTCACAGGGTGCCACCTGTCCCTCATCCACTCCAGTTCCCACCCTTTGCTTCTTTGGTCTGTCATCCATAAGTCATTAGTGTCACATGGTGTCTAGTCCACCATGTCAAACAATTACGACTCATTGGAGGATTTGCACAGCTTCCACTGATTGTTCAGATTTAAGGTATACGGGAGTCCACACCAATGACAGAGCCTCAGGTTCTCTCAGATAATCAGAAGTGCTGGTGTTTCTGTTGCTTGAACTTAGCAGGTACTGGCTAGGGTTTCCTGTCCAGTGGGTGGCATCACTCATCCAGACGTTCCGAGACTATTTGCACCCCCACCCCAAATAATCCAAATGGCATCTATTACATCATCACCCTGACGGAGAGAGCCAGAGTATAGGCCATCATCTTTCCCCCTGACCTCAGGGTGCCCTGTGGGTTCTGTACTGTTGCCAGCTGGGAGCTCTGAGGACAGAAGTGCAGTTGTCACTCTGATGGGACCTGCTGAACATTTGCCATCAGTGCAAGTCTAGTGTAAGATGCTAGATGCAACCATACACCTGCTGCCTTTACCTTGGGATAGCCCAGGTGCAGAGGATAATGCCCACTGGGAAGAATGGCTCCAGTTACAGGCAAAGACTAGTGGAGGGGCCAGCTACACAGAGGACAACATCAGGACCAGACTCAAGAAACAAGGATAATGTCCAGCCAAAACCTGCCCCAACCCTTCCTATCAGCCAGAAAAGTTAGAGAGGGGAACCATGTGTAGGTGAAGGACATGGCACATAGAAAGACCTGGAGAGGAGGGCTACCATCAATGGAACAAGATGGCTGTTTGGGTGGCTGGGAACTTGAGGGTAAAGCTTATAGCATGGAATGCAGACTAGGTCTCCATGGGAAGGGTCGTCAGCAGCCTGAAGGCCTCTGGACAGGGAAGAACTCCATGTGACCCACAGCCGCTGTGAACAGGGTAGACTGGAAGAATGTAAGTGGTTATGGGGAGCTGAGAACAAGCCGGTGCCTGGGAAGCCAGTTGCAGGGCCTGGATGAGACATACAGATTCCAGGGATATGAGGAAGTCAGATTTGGAACAAGACCTGGGGACAGATCTGATTCTGCTAAGAGGGAGATGTCAGGATCAGAAGTACTTCCAGGTCTAGAGTTGATTGAAAAGTCCTCCTACCCCAGTCTACCCAGGTCTCAGCCTGGGTGCAAGTGTGGTACAAAGGGGGCTCTGCAGAACACTCAGCTGAGGCTCTGAAGCTTGGGAGGTTCCCTTAGCCATCAGTGTGGCCCTACCACATGTCTACCTCCATGTAGGTGGAGGCAGAAGATAGGACATGGAAGGGGAGATGGAGATGTGATCCTGGAGACAGGGGACAACATGTCACAGTTACAAGGAACATCAGCAGCCACACAGAACAGGAAGAGGGAGAGCTCGGCCCTGCAGACACATGGAGCTCAAGCAGGCTGTGCTGGCTGTAAACTTCAGCCACCAGAACTGTGAGGGAATGAGTTTTGATCTTTGCAAGTCATTTGTTACATCAGCAACATCGAGAAAGCAACGTGCTGGGGCCAAACAGTTGGCCTGGTAAAGAGGAGCCATTCTGAGAGGCGTAGAAGAGGAAAAGCAAGGGCCCCTCCAGGATCCTCTGTGTGCAGGAGGAAGGCCAGGAGGCCGTGGAAGGAAGCCAATGGACTGTGAGGGAAGAGGGTTTGTTGGGAACCCTTCAGGCCCCCACACTTATGACTCATCCCTGGTTCCCAGGACATTACTAGCCCTGGTGGGGACCAAACAAATGTTTACAGGCTGAGTGAAGAGTTGACCCCCTAGCATCAGGACATGTCCTCTGAGAGACACATGATGGTAAAGACAAGAGGGTGGTCCCCATCCACTGGTGCGTGCTGAGAATGTTTACAACAGCAAGAGTCACTTCAGTGGATGGCTCCCATGTATGTGGTTTTAGAGGAGACAGGCATCTCAAATTCATCTTTATTAATAGACTCCTTTAAATTAGCATGGGAATTAACCCCTGTGGGGTTAAAGAGGACACACTCTGCTGGGAGTCTGGTTTACTGGGTTCCTGACACCCCTTTTCTGGATGGGTAACTTCAGACAGGATGCCAAAGCTCTCTGGGTCTCCAGTTCCTCAGCTGTAAGTGGGGTGTTCTCTCCCCCCGCACCCTACCACAATTGTTACAGAAAGCCTATGAGGCTGGGGCATCCTTAGAACCAGAGCACACATTGTTGGTGGACCTCAAATCAAGATGTTCATGTATTCTGCTGGCTTTCCAATGAGAAGACTCAGGTTCAGGGGATGAAGAGGCTTTCCAGGAATACACAGAGTCTAGGAACCAGAGCTCAGGCCTCCCGGAAAGGGCTCCACATGAGTGGACAGATAAGGACAGATGAGTCCTATTGAGGCAACTAGAGATGGACACTAGGGCATCATGTCCGCACTGAGCAGCCCCCTCTTCTGGAAAAAGCCTTGCACCTCAGGCTGGGAGACATGTGCAGAGCAGCCCTGGGCCCTGAGGACCATGCCTGACCTGGTGAGGAGTAGCTGGATGTGGCTGATGGACAGCAAGGGACAGACTGAGACCTCCTCTCATATCATAGGTCAGACTTCAACAAGCCTCCTAGCAGAAGGTCACAGGGTAGAAGTGAGGCATGGTGTCCTCTTGATGTCATGATGAGGAGGCCAGAGCCCAAGCTGCTTGGCTGGGAACCCTTAGAAGTATCCACATGAAAGGCTATAGAATCCTGGGCCACCTGGTCCTGGGTATATCCCTGGGTTCATATGCCCCTTCAGCAGTTGTACAAAGGAAAGGACAACTGATCCACTTAACAACCAAGAAACTAGAGACCCAGGGAACATTGACATCTGGCCTAAGGTTACTCAGATAGGGTACTGGTGACCCAGAGATAAATCTAAGATGAATATAAAGTGTGAAGCCAATTTACTCAGGCTTTCTGATGGGAACAGAGCCCTCAACTTGACAGTACTCTCAGATAGAGGTGTTTGACATGTTTCTTGACAACTGGGATCGTGTAGAACATCTCTGTTGGATACCATCAAATGCACACATATATCATATCAATGAACCTGTGTAGCACTTACCCCCCCAAAACCAGTGGATGACTATTGGGAGACCATCACCTAGACACCATGGCCACTGGTCACTCCCAAGATAAAGTGGCTACCCACCTCCAAAGCCAATGGATGGCCATTTCCTAAGTCAGTGGATGACTATCTCCAAGACCAATGTGTGACTACAATGGGAGAGAATCTCCAAACCAATGCTTGGCCACTCCCACACCAATGCATGACCCCACCTGAAAACAAAATATAACCATCCCTAAGACCAATGGATGACCACCCATGATCAATGACAATCTCTAAGAAGAGATGATCACCCAAGACCAATGGTTGATGTTGATAACTGGTTTTGTCAACTCTATGAGGCTTAGAATTACCATGGAAATGAATCTTTATGCTGGTCTTTCAGGGATCACCTAGATTACATTAAGAGAAATGGGAAGACCCACCTCAAATGTGGGTGCTACTGTGCCACACACTTGAGTCCTGGCCTAAGGCAAAAGGAGAAAGTACACTCTGCTTCCTGACTGAGTATACCAGGTGACCAGCAGCCTCAAGATCCTTCTGCCATGACATCCCTGCAGTGATGGGTTGTACTGTGAGCAAAAATAAATCTTTCTTTCCATAAGTTGATTTTGTCAGGTCTTTTGTCACAACAACCAACCAAGTAACTAATACACTGACCATCCCTGAACTCAAAAGCTTGAAGCCTCCAAGACCAAGGGTTGATCATCCCCAAGCCAATGGGTGACCAGCCTGAGGCTAGTCACTGATCACCCTGAGATCATCAATGGACCTTCCCTCTAAGACCACTGACCTGAATAATGCCACACAAGGGGTTCATCCCAAAGAAAGCAGTGTTCATCAGCAGAATGCCGGAGTATCAATGATTTAGTATGCATCCCAAACCAGCCGTCTAAAACCCAGCAGAGGAAAATTGACAAGGGGACAAGGCACACTCTATGAGCTAATTTTTGCTGGTTTTTTCCCAGGACTTTGATTTCCTGCTGCCAGTGGCAAGTGTATCTGTTTTTACATGTAATTTTTATTAATAAAAATCCATTCCCTCTCCCAACTCAATAAATATTAAAAAGATCTCTCAAACACACCAGCCTGGATAGCACCCTGCTGGGAATCTGCTAGTGGCCTGTGTCCTACCCAATGCCTGTCCAGCCTGGTGTCTTACAGAAGGCCCAGTACCCTGGCCCCAACTCTCATTCATCACGGCTGTGACTGTCAAACCTAAACAGGCTTTCAACTTCGGAGTGGAAGAAAGCTCCCACAGAGGACTTAGTCCAGTGCCTCAGCGTCACTGCAAGCGGCTAGAGACACCAAGTCAAGTTGCCAGTGTTCAGATCTCAGCAAGTGATACAAGACTTGACCTTTTTTTCCTCTTTGTCCAGCTCCTTTGCTATTTGACTGATAGAGAAGCAACCACCAGAAATGGAAATTAAAGTTAAAAATGTATTACAATCCAAAGCTATCATCTGCTACTTTGAATTTTAAAGCATTAAAAACTCTGACATGCCCAAAGTTTGTATCGTAGGAAACCCCAGAAAGTGGACATCTTACTCCCATGGGTAAAGCTGGCCGCTCGCCCTCAGCACCTCCTC